CCCCCCCCCCCCCCCCCCCCCCCACCCCCGCCACTGTACAGCTAAATCCTGGAACCACCAGCAGTGCATAAGCCTTCAACTGGACAGTCTTATTGTTACCTCTGCTATTCACTTGGATGTATGGGTACACAATTGTGATTATTACCTTATATTCTCCCATACTCATTGAACATCCATGTATTATTAATATCCCAGCTTAAAAGAGGAAAGTGGGTATTACAAAAGGTGGTCAGGTAAAAATAACTTGTCTGCTTGGTGGATGGAAAATCCCCAAATGTGAGTTCCTCTTTTATGTAATTTTCCCTTGTATAAGAGGCCCGTAGCCAACAATTTCAAATGAAGGTTATTCTCCTGAAAAAGTGGACCTTTCACCATAAAAACTCTGTGTACCTAGGTAAAAGGGCTAGGGGATTCTTTCAACCCCCTCAAACCCCTTGGCTGTGCATATTCCAGGGTTACTTAGAAACTAGTTTTAAAGACTGTGCCAAAAACAAGCCCTTTGGGACATCAGGGTTTGAAAATGCATTGAACAGAAGCAGAAATAGTGTCCAGTAACTTAATTAACATTGTTTTAAAAAATTTTACTGGCCTGGTTTTAGCCTATTAAAATACTAACTTGCATTGGCATAGAATGAGTATAAGCCTGGAGACTGAATATTAAATTTAAAAAGTTATTGGTACATGTAACTACATATATTTAAAACAAAAAAGATAAAAGAAAAAATGAAGTTTACAGGACTTGCATTCAATGTATATAGAGCTGAACCTGGCCAAGTGCTAGGTATACAAAAGCAGACTGACTTGTGTTGATATTTTTAACCTCTTTTCAATTGTATCAGGTTTCTGAAAGTAACTAGTAGGGAAGTTTCTGTCTCATTGTTAGTCTGTGCAACCCATAAGCATTTTCAATGGAGATTTGCTAAAGCTTCATTTGCTTGTAATTATCTGTTGGAATAATTGTGCATTGTCAGTGATTATGTAATTATCTGGAAAATGGTTTGGTTGATATGAAATTCTAACAAAGATAACAGTATGGCAGGGATTTACAATTTTTTAAAGTAGAATATTGTTACTGTTAACACAGTAAATTTTGTTAAATATGTAACTGTTATTGTTACAGTTTTTTAGAATGACTAATAATGTAGAGACTTTTTTCAAATATAATTTTTGGATGCTATTTGAATTTAGTGCATTGGCTTTTATAATTTTGAGAAAAAGAGAGTTTTAGTACTCGATTTTACAATCGGATTCAGACTCTTGACAACAGTGCTTTGATTTTCAGCAAATTGGGTGCAGCTCAGAAATGTTATATTTTAACTTCCTTGTTAGGAATTTTGAGCCCAAGATATAGTGCTTTGTGTTGAAGCTCTTATTTCTAGTACAAATTGTAGCAAGTATTGGTCTGATGCCTTTACTAGAGATACGTGCTTCATATAATGTATTATTTTGAAACAAATGGGGATGGGTAAATCCTGTCAGCCCTCAGCTTTTTCCTCTTTTACCATCAATTATTTTAACTCATCATAATGTTTTTTATTTTAAAATTTTATTGTGACAGATCCTTTAGAAAATTTTACTAAATTTGATTTCCCAAGATTAATACTTTTTCAATGATTTTCAGATCTTGATAAATGTGGCATACTGCATTTTGATTCTTATTGGGAAACTCATTCAACTTGGGGTGTTTGGGAACCTGAGGATTAGTGAACAGGAGGTAAGATTGCGGTTAGAATGCAAAGTAGATATATTTTTGAGCTCAGAAATAATGAGATGGTAAAAAAAGTAACAAAACAATTTAACTGGTTACTTCTTATAACCCTGCCCCTAGTTTATGAATGGATTGTGTTACATGAACACTAAGCATGTTTGCTCACTTTGTTATCCTCAGACAACAGTTTGGTTACTCATTGTAGCATGGGGTGTTATCCCCAGAGGTGTTGGCTTTAATGTCCTAAAATTATCGCTGTTAACAAGAGAGTTACCTTTGGTAAGAAAAGGCAACAAGCAGTTAACAATTTGGAGTGTTCTTTCTGAGCTCAACTGCTTATTTTATTATTTTAATAATTAAAATAGAACAAAGTTTTGGCTCTAACTTTTACTAGTAGATATCATGTGATAAAATCCTCATAGAGCTTGCTAAGAATTGAACATTAATGGTAAGAAGAAAAGAAAAGAAACAAATAATTGCAACTGAGAACCAGAATCTGGAAATACAATCTGAAAATAAGAAAGGAAAAAATGCTTAAGTTTGAGCTTTGAACTTTGGATACCTGTGCCAGTGCTTATTGTTACAAGTTACAATGTGTACAAGCAGGACATTTGTTGAAAATATCTACTGCTTAGCAGTTTGACATTTTGGACTTAAAACTTGTGGTCTAATAAGATGCGCAAATGCTCATGAATTTCATCTGAAGTATAGAACTATTGTAAGGTAGCTGTGCAGTAGGCAGATAAAGCAGATGTTCATTGCCAAGTTTTAGCTGTACAGAAACCTTGAATTGTATGGCTTACCACATTGATTGAATTTTCTTTGGCTTCCCAGGGATTATCTGGTGCAGAGAAAGTTGAAATTTCTCATACTTGAGCAAGTTTGTTGAAAAGGATGTTATTTAACTTATATTAGGAGAAGGTGTATTTTGGTGATGTTAGTTTTCTTTAGGAAGTGATCATTGTATAAGGTCATCATTCTCTATTATTAGAAATTTCAATAAGAGAAGGGACAGGCCCAAAAGAAAGAAGAGATTTGCTAATGTAATTTGTTAATGTAATTAGATAATTACTACAGTTATCCTATTTATGTACTGATTTTATACCTTTTCTCTTCATTTGACTGTCCCCATATCAATATTTTTTTGTTTTAGCACCTCAAGGACAAATTCTGGAACTTTATATTCTACAAGTTCATCTTCATCTTTGGCATCATGAATGTCCAGACCATGGACGAGGTATTCAGGTGGTGTGGCTGGTTCTCCATTCTTTGTTTTCTACAGCTCCTGGCACAGCTCAGCAAGGACAGGTTTGAATATGTAAGTTTATTTGTTATTTTATTTATTTGCTGTTTTGTTTTATTTATTTGAATTGCAGAAATGACATAATGACATAAACCTACAAACAACATTGACTGGACAAAAATGTTTCAAGCACTTCTTTCACTCATTCTAAGTTGCAAAGAGAATGTGTAAATCATATGATGTTGTTGTAGGAAGTAGTTGGCAGGAAAGTTATCAGACTGTTGAAATGGAATTTTTTCCTTTTATGAAAGTATCTTTATTGGTCAAAGTAATCAGAATTAGATAGGAAAAAGTAGAGGTAAAACTTAAAATAGTATCACAGTACTGAGTTTTGAAAAAAATGTCGTTTCAGCTATCTTTCTCGTTAAGCACACCAAGATGGACCCATGCCAAAGTTATTATCCTCCTATCTGTCATACTTGGTGCCTGCTTTGGTCTGCTGGCACTGAGTATTTTAGTGGGACTAGAGTCTGGATTGCATGTGTTCTCATTCATGGCAGCAGAGGTAAGTTATGTAGAAAATGTGTTAGGTGTGACTGTCACTATGATTGTGTTTATAGCTGTAGTCTCTTGTCACTAAATAAACTTAGAAGGAATGCTATACCCTGAATTTTTTCCATTCACTGCATTGGGGAGTGGGGTTATGGCATAATGGAAATATTATCATAGCAGTGTGTTAAATTTTTTCAGTGTTTGAATTTGTATCTTCTGGCACTGACTAGCATATTCATGCCTCCATATCAGTAGAAGTATCTTATTTTCATTTTGTCTAGCAACCTACTCATTTTGACCATTAATTTTATAAGTGTGCTATAATTTATGATTAAATATTGAATACACATATATATGCAGAAATGATTATGTACACTAGAGCCTCTAGAGGTTGTCTTTAATTAGCTACATACAGTACATGTAGCTACAATGTCATAATTTTGGTTTATGTTTGTAGGAAAATATAGTTTCTTTATTCTGTGTATTTTCAGTGTGCATTGTTGGGAATAAGTGTGGTGTATGTCCTTATCAGGTAAGTGGTAACATAAGCTTGTTGCATCCATTATGAATGTCATTTAGTAAACAGATTTCTTGAAATTTTTTGCCATTTGTTCAGCAGCAAACGAAATATATAAAAGCTCTGTCCTTTGTAGTTAGCATAGTCCACTGCTGCCAGATTTGAGACTATTCTTCCACCAGCTGTACAAGGCATTTATACTCATACAAAGAGAGAGAGAGAGAGAGAGAGAGAGAGAACAAGGACTGGGCTCTGAATAACTTGAATCAAATTCTTTCTTCCAATTTTTAATTGAAATTTCAAAGAATTTGGTTTTATAGTGAAACTACCCAGATATAACTAGCCCTAGTTTTCTATACTTCAGGTATGCCATTCATCTGTGGGATATCCACCATGATGGAGTGTGGGAGCAGAGGTCCAGCTATGCCTACTACACTGAGCTGGTGTGTGAACTCCTGTCCCTGGGCATTGACTTCCTGCATCATCTACACATGCTGGTCAGTATTGTTATGACATAGTGCCCAAGTGCCTTATGAAAATAACACAAAGAACTTACTAGAGAGCTTTCAGCTTCTTACAAAGAGAGAAGAGCAGAGAAGAGAGTGATTTATTTCAAGTAAGCCCTTATGTACAAGTTCAGCTAGTACACATTCTCAAATCAGGGCAAATTATACAGTGAACAGTTTTACCTATAAGTTACCAATCAGTGTAGTTTACGCAACGTTGCAGGAAGATATTCAAACTTGCACACCGGACTGTACTTTACTTATGGAGACATCTACAGGTAGCAATACATAACGATCTCAACTAACACAGTACATCGTCACAGTATTCCCAAGACTGAAGAATGAGATCCTGTCGTGGAATCAGATTTCTGACTTTTTTTTTTCAGCATCTTATGTTTTTTTGTTTTATAATATATGTATCCTTTATCCAAAGCTTTACTGGTAACTGTTATCTGTTACAAACAAGTTTAAGAATATATGCAAAAAGATAAATTGAATACCAAAATGCAAACTGAAGCATTGCAAACTTGGTTTTGTGTGTGGTATGATATACTTTCAAAAGTATGACTTAAGCTTAATTTCAGTTGTAGAATAATATAAAATTTAAGGATGACAATATATATTCGTTTCAGTTGGAGTAACATATTCTTAAGCATAACTCTCTTTGTTTCAGTTGTGAAGTAACATTCTTAAGCATGGCCCTATCTTTGTTTCATTTGTGGGGTAACATATTCTTAAACATAACCTTATCTTTGTTTCAGTTGTGGAGTAACATATTCTTAAGCATGGCCAGTCTGGTGATCTGTATGCAGCTAAGGTACCTGTTCCACGAGTTCCAGAGGAGGGTCAAGAGGCACAAGAACTACCAACGAGTGGTCAAGACTATGCAGACCAGGTGAGAGGATTATTTTCTATTATCATGGGAAAGATCAACACATTTTGAATGGGGTGTTGTGGAATAAAAGTGGAGCTTGGTTGTTTTTGTAGCATTGTTATTCTCACTGCTAAAAAGAACATGTTTAGAAACAAAGGGGGCCATATTAAAAGTAAAGAAATGTGAATAAGAAGGAAACTAATATCTTCTATTAATTTGAAGTCACCTGCCCTAACTCTCCACACAACCGAAAGAAAGAAAAAATAAATAAATGAATAATAAATATAATTAAGGAAGAAAGATAAATTCAAGGGTAATGGTACTTAAAAAATAATTGTGAACATGCACCCACCTCTAGACTAGTAATAAGGCACTTAAAAATAACTACAGGCTATTTATATTTGTCATTAAAGTCATTTTGTTTAAAAGAAAAAAAAAAAAAAAACGTTCCTCTAGGTTCCCTATTGCCAGTGCCGAGCAGCTGCAGGCCAATGATGACAAATGCGCCATCTGCTGGGAGAAAATGAAATCAGGAAGAACCCTGCCTTGTGGACACATATTTCACAGGTAAGTGACAGGCAGGGATGTCACTAAAATTTTAATCCATTTAAAAACAACAGACCATTAATTTAATAATTTATTTTTTTCAAAGAGTGCAAACTGGGAGTTAACCCAAGGGAATTAGACATTGTTGACTCTCAAGCTTGGTTGAGCTGGTCACACTGAGAAGCATATTATTTCCATATTAAACTCTTTTATTCAGAAAATGTGTCAATATTGCTTAAGTAGTCAAATTGTATCCAAAAAGACCCTGGTTACAGAGCAGAAATTACCTGAGAGGAGAGCGTTTTACTGGAAAGAACAGCATCTGTGTACTCAGAATGAACCTAAAGACTTGTCATCTAAATGTTTTTACTGAAAACTGACTTAAACTTTAAAAGATGTGTTAGCTGTTGCAAATGTGATTCAGTACAGTGATGAGAATTTTCAAGATTGGAAGAAAAAGCTACCGGGTAATTTGTCACACAATTACCATCAAAATGAAACAAATTCTCTGTGGGCACTCCTAGTCAGTTCACAAAGAGACAATGGATCTGTAAAGCCGCATTCAGTTTCATATATTTATGATTTGATGTCTGTGATGTGTAAATTATACAGTCAATGGTCAAGGTGTAGACCAAAACTGCACTGCTATGCTGCCTGTGCTCAGGTGACCTGCTGCTGGGCTGGTGTCTCTGATTATAAGCATAAAAAGACTTGATTTTTGGAGTCAGAAGTGGAACGGTACAGAGCTGTTCTACTATATGTGTCTGAACAGACCCAGAGAGTTGTATTCTCATTGTGTGGTCGTAAGTGGATGCCATTTGTACAGTCTGGATCAAATTAGTTTTGTTTTATTTGAAATGAAGTTGGTTTGTGTAACTTTAGCGGAAACAATTTTGAAGGCCTTGATCTGATTAAGGTTTGTGTGGTCTTTTGAGGTGACTAGGAAATTTTGTAATGCAATTTAAAGTGTACCACCCTCCCCTTCAATTGAGTAAGAAAAAATAATTTTTTTTTTTGTTCAGTAATTTGGTTTATTGTTGATTGTCTCTCCTCCTGTCACAGCTCCAGTATTTTTATAAATTTTATTATTATAATTATATATATATATATATATATATATATATATATAAAATGAAGTGGATTTAATATTCTAAGAATTCACATATTTTACACACTTTTGCATGGCTTTCTGGGTAAAATCAATGATGTGTTATGTATGAAGTATTTATAGATTTTAAAAAACGGCGTCCTTCTTCCAGCTTTTGCCTACGTTCCTGGCTTGAACAAGATGTCTCCTGCCCCACCTGTCGTGAAGCACTCAACTTTGATGAGCACCGTGAGACTGCAGAACAAGGCAACATCGGGGCTGCAGGGGACGCTGCCAATGCACCAGCGCCACCTAGGAACATCAACCAAACCACCAACCACTTCTTTCACTTCGATGGTTTGTACTATTGTTGTCTGTTGTGCCCTTTTTTCTCCTTAAAAGATATTGTGCAAATGCAGACTGGGGCAACTAGGTGCTTTTCATGCCCTGAAACATGAAGCAGGCAGAGTCCAGGATTGATGTGAAGATCTTCTGTCAGAGCTTGATCATTCTACCATTCAGAATCAATGATTTGGAAAAGTTCATAAACTTGACTTTATTTTGAAATTAGGTCAATTGTCATATATATATATATATATATATATATATATATATATATATATATATTGCATGTTTATGTATTTTTACCCAAGTTCTTCATATCAATTTGAAAAAAAAAAATTATTTGTGACATGTGAGCACTGACAACAGCCATATTTTATGGTGTCTTTTTCATCGAAGTCTCACCAGGTTCCAGCTGCATCTGGTTTGCAACTTCTTTTTTTGAAAAAACTCATATGACTTAGAAACATGGTAGAATTCAGCTTTTATGTCTTCTTCATTCCAGGCTCGCGTTATGTTCGCTGGCTGCCAAGTTTTTCGGTTGAAGTGACCCACACGACATTGATGGATCGTAACCTTCTGGCACGCCAGCGCCAGCATGTACAGACCTCACAGATGGACACTTGGGTAAGGAGCCGAGCACGAGGAGTTAAAAAATGAATCACATCAGTTTCACCAAAAATTTTAAAAGATTTAAAAAAAGCTTTAAGCAACAACTGTTTGTTGTGAAGTTTTTAACTGATCTTGTCCTGGACTTCTTTGTACTAGTTTGAATTTCAGTTAAAACATGGACTGTGTTGTAAACTAGTGACATCTGGTACAAATAATCCTGGACTATTCTTGAATTGGGTTGAGTTGAAGTCAAAACATGGAGTGTAATGACAATATGCTGCTGTACATTCTATAAGATTTTTGGTTTCCTCAGTGGAAGGCACTGCACCAGACTGTGCCACCAGTTACAGATACTGCAATGGTGTTTGCATTTTGACTTTTCATATATATTTTGTGATGAGATAGTGCTTTGGTATGCAGCAAATATTTGTAATATATAATATTGTTGTTTTTATAGATAGGCATTTGGTTGATTGGCACTGTGATAGAAAGTCTGAGCTTGTTAAGAGACAGCAAATGCTTGTTGGCAAAACTGTGTCTGGAGTAGCGCTGGCAATTTTTATATTGCTTAGCCAAATCACTTCTTATTCATCAGCTTTTTCCCAAATGGTTTAAATTTGACTGAAACTATTCAATAAACCCAATTTTGATTGTGCTTGTGTCTCTGATTCACATTAATACAGCTATGAAAAAGTCAAACTTCTTGATTGCTTGCTATTTTATTTCTGACCTATGGATTTTAACATATTTTTTCATAGAATCGTGGAATTCTATGAAAGCTTGTTAAGAAATATCATCTAACAGTTTTGGTGTTGCCACTTTTTAGGTCCGTCAAGTTCGTGAAGTTTTTCCAGACACCATCTTGCCAGACGCCATAATACAAGATGACCTCCACATCACTAGGTCGCCAGAAATGACCGTCAATAATATTTTAGAGGGCAGGCTGCCAATAGCAGTAAGTAGCTGACTTTGATATTTATGGATGAAAATTTACTGCTCACATTCAGTAGATTATTTTATGTCAGAAGAAACACTATTAATTTTTCTACAACTACTGTTACTTCTACCACTACTCATCTACTACACTGTATATTTTATTTCAAACAGCTAAACATACAGTAAAGCATTTAGTTAAGATTTAGTATCAATTTAAATATTTTGAGTGCTTTGACTGTAAAAGTTTCAAGATTTAGTTCATTTCCAAAAACAATTTGAATTTCTTTTTCAAGTTACAAGATGTTAGCAGATAGCTGTTTTTCCTTTATAGATAATGTTTCTACCACCACTTTTACAACATCAGTGACTATTACTACTAACATCAATTATGAACATACTTACAATCCTAGAACAGCAACTTTGACTGAAGTTACTTTATACTATATTATTATATTTTCAGAATTCCATAGCAGGTAATAATAACAACAACCCAGCAGTATATGATTCTGATGACTCCTATAGTACAGCTTCCTCTGTGAGTGAAGATGTAGCACACAACTATAGAGATGATAATGTACCTGCTCTGTTTGAGATACCTGATGTGTAAGTAATATTGCCTGTTAATATGAAATAAGAACTGATGACAACTAGAGAAAACCATATTTAAAGAAAGTATTTAGTAACCTGGCAACTAAAGTTCTCTATTTATGGCACACAGATATTTTACAAATTATCTTCCATTGATTTATTTTTGAAAACTTATATAGTAAATTGAGTAGGCAAATGCTAATGACTTGTTTCATTGTGAAAAAATGTTTTCCTTTGATGATATTAAAAAATTCGTTTCCAAAATACATTTATTTAGAGTAGACATAATCTGAATGTCAAAATTTGTGAATTTTGATAAAATTACAGAGAGGAGGATGTTGGTGCTGCAGCTGTCAATCCAGGAGGAGGAAGGTATTCTAAAAAATCCTCAGAAAGAGAAGAGTTGCTCAACAGAAGGAGAGAAGAGTTGATAGAACAAGCTAGGAGGTAAAAAAAATTAATAGAATGAAAAGTTTCATTCTGGTTTTATATAGATTAGAGTGTTAATAACTGTGTTAAAAAGAAAAGATGAAAAGAGACAATTTTGTTTACTTTGGGAAAAGGGGGGAAAAGTTGTGTTAAGTCTGGTCGGGGATTAGTACAAATTTTTAGCAGATATTCATTCAAAACTAAAAACTTAAAAGACACCAATCTCAATTTTAGTTTGAAGTAGCAACAAAGAGTTTTTTCAATATATTTATATTTCAATCAAATGGGCTGAAAACATTCCATAAATCTTGCCTTAAATTTAGATATTCTGGCTGTGTGTGTGTGTGTGTGTTTGTGTGCAAGTGTGTAAGGTACAACATAAGAGGTTATTTAATTAATTAATTAATTTCTTTATTATTTATTATTTTATTTTATTTCATTTATTTATTTATTTATTTATTTATTTTTTGTTAATAGGAGGTTCCAATCAAAGGAAGCATCTACAAGCACAGAGCAAGCTTCACCATCAGACTTGGAGGAACCCTTGTCAAATACACCCCCAGAAGCCAGTTTGGAAGTGTCCGAAAATTTATTAAGACAAAGACGTCAGCAAGCATATGATGCAGCTATCAGAAGAATGATGCAGCATGAACCGCAGCAGTAGCAATAGTAGCAGTGACAGTAATGGTATTTCAGACTTAATTGCGTTTGCGCGCTTTTCCACATTTTTGTTGAAGAACGGGTTGAAGGATTATTCAAAATGGCAGCCACTTTTTTATAATTTAAAGATTTCATGAGGAATATTTCATTTTTTATGAAATGGGCCAGGCTGTTTTGCATGGTGCTTAAGTTTATATAACTGTTAAAATGCTATTATCAAAACTATTGAAGAAAGGCATGATCTATTATACAAGTTATGTGTTAAGCACACAGATAAAATATTTAACACATATACAGACTGACTGATATTTTAGTAATATGTAAAGCCTGTACATAGAAAAGAAAAGATGTATATGATATCAATGATATTTTTCTTTAAGTCTTCAACTGAGGTGCAGGGGAATGGAGTTGAGATTTAACAGTAACGTAACGGTATGCTTGTGTTAAAAAATTGTATGATATTTATGTATAGATAATTTTTTGCTCATAAATGAAATCGTTCTTATAATATCATACGATATTTCTTGATGGAAGAAATGTCAAATCCAGTATCATATCTTTTGTATTCTGATATATTTAAATTGTCATCAGGTAAAGAAATCTCCATTCAGATATGTGTTGTTATTAAGCCCTTTTTTGTTCTTACAAAACTTGGAATTTAGTTTATTTGTAAAGACATACCTATATGTGATGAACAAACTTAAACAGGGTAAAAACTTGAGTTTTTCAACAGTTTGGGTGTGACTGAATATCCACAGAAGTACAGATTCAGCATCAAAACATTTCAACAACACAGATCTGCCTAATACTATGGAAGAACAGATTTGGCACCAAGTGGTTTGGTTTTTAAGGAGGTAATGATAGTCATAGTCTTGCCCCCTGTCTCCCACGTGTCACCCTGCACAGTCATTGTGACAGCAATGTTGCGGCACATGAGTTACACTTCCACACAATTTGAATATGACATAATTACAGTGTAAAGGATTACCATTTGTCCAACAGGTTAATACCAGTAAATTTGAAGCCAGGCCAGTTAAACTCTGTTAATTTGTCCAATTACTGTTTCCGAATTGTGTTAGTGGATGCTTTGGTATCACTTAGGGCCAGTATAGGTTTTAATTTTTCATCACAGACTGGATATACATGCAACAGTATCCTGTTCGGTTATCCAGGGCCTGCTTTAGAAACTAGACAGTGACTAAGGAATGTCTTTACCTGCTGTAATTGTGTCAGTCTTATTTGGCTGGAAAAGTAGAAGCCTTCCATCGGTTCAAATTTCCTACCTCTGCACAGTGGAGAGCTGTACCAGTGATGGTTTCCAGCCCATTGCCAACCTCGCATTTGCTACAGACAGCTTAGAAATGCATTAAGTGTATTGAGGCGGTTGCAGATTAGTTTAGTCGTCTTTAATGTTGTATTAGGAGTCTAAAGTCACTGGTAGTTTGTTGCCCAGCCTGACCTTGTGCCAGTGTACAATTTTGTCTGGTTTTTGGAACACAAGTGAGATTGAATTACAAAGAAGAGAATCAAACGGGGTGTAAAAAAGTAGTGCACTTGGAAAGCCAAAGGTTGATGACTTTCAGAAGGGAGATTTTCTGGTAGGGGATTTTTTTTTTTTTTTTTTTTTTGGGGGGGGGGGGGGGGGGGGGAGCAGAGCAGGGAAATAGTTTCCACTATGTCTGGTAAAGGCTTTACCACTTATTAAAGGTTTTACATACTCTGTCTGATAATGTTTTCAACTGTCAGATTAGATTTTGCAAATGGGTGTAATGTGTGTAGGAAAGGTGTACCAGCTAGTGGGCAGAGAGAGAGACCATTTGTGTATGGGACTGACTCCAGCAAAGTTTTTTATTAAATCTAATCTGCATAATTGTCATTCCCACAGGTATCATAATCAATATTATTTTTATTATCATTGTTTTCTGTGTAGCAGTATGTGTGTGTGTGTGTGTTACTTAATGTATTTCATGTTCCCAAGTGGGTCACGATCATTCTTATTCGGTGTCTGTTATGCAAAAGAATAAAGTTGTTTAGAAACTTAGTGCAGTCATGCTGTAAATATCTTTATACTTAGCAGTTAGAAGAACAAACATATCTTCATAACTCTTGGTTATTATACTGTCACTAAAGTAGTGTTGTGTAGTTAGACCTCCAAAATTCTTTAAAATAGGTTTCTAATTTCAACATTCAGCAGAATATTGCAACGACTTTTTAACCAAAGTGAGTCTTATACAAATACCATTATAGTTGTACATATTTGAAAACTGCCTGGGAGTAGGGGTTGCAAATTGCACATAGTCACTTTATGGTGCAGTGCAACCATTTGCAATATTTTTTCAGTATAGCTAGCATATGGTGATAGAAATCTTGTGCCTTAATTTGCCCTTTGAAACAAATATTACAGACCAAAACAGCTAAATTTAATTATCTTTTGTGTGCTGTGACACAAAAACAACACTGTCTTTAAAGCTAAATATCTTTTAAGAGCTCAGAAAAATTGAAAATGCTGATAACCAGATATCAAGTAATGGTCTCAATTTTGTCATGTAATAATGGTTTTTTGCATATATATAATTCTATTATTAGATGTAAATGTGTTCATTTTGTTTTTTATTTTATTCATTTATTTACCTTACTTTGCAAAATAATCATGGTTTCAATTTTTTTCAAGAAAATTGAGGAAAAGATGCCAGTTATTGTTTAATTTTTACCATTCATTTAGTTATATTTTGTAATGAGAAAAGCATTAGATTTGTACTCATATTTAATCATGTACAGAGTGAGTAATGTACATTTACAATGCAATTCTGATTTCTTTTGATTTATTAAATTTTAACAGTCAATAAGAACATGTTGAAAAAAAGTGGATTAATGATTTTGTACATAATTTGGTCATAAGTGAGAAGTGAAGAAAATCTCTACATAAATAAACATTGAGCATTCAAATTTAGAAATATAATTTGTAACAAAGATTTGTGCTTATGAAGTTTTTTTCCTACACTAATGTTATTGGGTTTTTGTCTGTGACAAGAGACCATGTGGTAGCTATGACAACAGGTCAAATTTTGTACATTTTAATCTATATTTTGGTTAGACAGGTGGCCATATTGAAAAATAACTGAAAAAAGTTATTTATGATAGCTGTATGTAATTCAGTAGTATTAATTTGTAAGAAATAACAACTTGGATTATTATTTGTGACTGCTAAAATGTGACTTAAATGAATTGAATTTCAAGATTGATTTTTGTGATTTTGGTTGTAAATTGATTTTATAAAAAAATTAATAAAATAGATCAGTAAAGTTAAACCCCTCTTACTAGATATGACTTTGTTATTTTTGAGACAAAACAACTATTTCAATGTCTCCCGAGTTTCAAGGTTCTGGGGATTTGCATCTTGAACAGGTCACACATTTTTATATTTTATTTATTTATTTAATTATGAACAAAAAAAAAATTACAATTTCCATGACCTTGTTGTATTGTCCCTTTTCTTATTGCATTTGATTAATACTTGGTCATATTCCAAATACTTACTGACCATGTTTATATCGAGTTCTAAATGCAAAATGCTCTTTAATAATACTTCAGTGCATTTACAATTTGGATAAAAAAGGAATTATAAATGAAGGACTGTGAACTTGGGGGGGGGGGGGGAAAGAATGATAAATGTCTTTGTGTACAGGGTACTTCAATAAACAGAGAACTTTTTGTTCGTTTGAAATTACAGATGCAGGTTCACTAGTCTTACATATACCTTAAGCTTAAATTAAAAGCCATTCTAAATGGCTAATTAAAAGCCTAATTAAAAGACATTCATGACTAATTATTTCAAAAAATTTTTAATTAATTTTTTATTTGTATTCAATATTTATATTTATTCATTCATTTCCCTTTATTTTGCAAAAGATGTTAAAATATGGTGTGCCCAGGTTTGTTGATATGCCTATGATACAATGCGTTGCCACACAGGTTTTCCTGTTGTAATTTATGCCTCTGCAGCCCATAGGGTGATAAGAACTTACAGTGAAAACACAAACACGCAGACAAATGTCAATGTTAGTCAAGTAACTTGAGTAATAAACAACCTGGAGGACTGGATTTGTGCTTTTCCCTAAAAAAACTACAATGGTTGTCACCTTATCCTCGTGATAAGAGATGAAAATTGTATTGATTTACCTGGAAATCCCAATATCTGGGTGTTGTAATTATGTCATCCACCCCACCCCCATACAAAGCTGTGGACCTACAGCACATGCATTTTCAAAATTTTTAAAGGTGATTCTTATGACTTTAGCCAGCTATACACAAGTTTCACCATTTAAATTCAAAAATATAAGTCCCTGACCTCAATAAAGTGCTGAACAATTATTGGTCGAATGAGTGGTCATTCATATGTTTTGACTTTTACATATTTTCTCAATGCTTTGTGATTTTGATTTCTGTTATCTTTAAAAGATATCTACTGTAAAAGTTAAGCATGTTTCAATGTACATGCAATTGTTCATAAGAAGTGTCAGCATGTTTTATGACATGCCAAACAAACAATTTCAACGTAATTTATGGCACCCTAACATTTCTGCAAAGTGTTACAATGAAATACAGGAAATAATTGTACATAAAATCTGGCAAAACTGGTTCAAAACATTCCCACAAGACACAAATTTTGTAGAAAATCTGTTTGTGTCAATGTTATCTTACATCAAATTGAGATTACAGATTTTCCATATTTATAAGAGTGACAGATCCTAGCAAGGGGGAAGTGTCACTGGATCCATTTAGAGATTTCTTCAAGAGGAACCAGGGGGAAGTGGTTTAGGGAATAAGGATCATGTTATCCCCCCCCCCATCCCCATCTAAATAATTTCCAGAGTCAAAACCCAAGAACTTAAGCCAGAAAATTGGCCTAAACTTCAAGCTGAAAATTTAGTCTGCTCTAATAAAAAAAATTGATATTATGAAAATAATTATTGGTCAAAAACAAAACATTACCCATCTATTTCTTGTTACAAAACAGACACTATTTCATTTAATTGGTTTAAAGTAAATTAATGCAAAATAAACTCTAATTTGGTCTTGCAGTTGAGACCAATTTTCCAGCCAAAGCTCTTTTCAGCAGTGATCCAGGCCTCTGTCGACAGAGGAGATATGCACCAATACACCACATTTCTGCCAGAAAACAGCCAAGTTTTGGCAAAATAATGAAAACGTAACCCTTTACAGGTACTCAGTGGGAACAGTCAAGTTTATTTGGCCCATAAAGGACACAGTTGGTCTGACATTTAATGAACCTCGACAGAAGTATACAGTGTTTTCAGCTGAATTTGATTAAGCGTGAAATCCTGCAGCTTTTGAGAAAGAACCGCCATCAACACTGATATATTCCTGTGTAGCCTAAGACATGTGTTTTCACCAAGTTTTACACACAGCTCCAAGGACCCTTTTACCAGGTCATTGTTGTATTTTGATTGAATAAGACTTCTATGAACTTCCTAATAATTTGATCACCTTGAGGCCGAAGAGGAATTGCTTTAAGTGCCAGAGCAAATGACATGTTTCTTTGTCAAAGTTACTAAAAGCATTTTTTTCCAGATATATTGGATACCTTATTTACTGAGTAAAGAATATACTGTACATGTACAACACGAAAGCTTGATTTCAGAACACGACTGCAAACATACACTATTACTAACAGCATGGTGAACACAGATAATCTTTTTTAAAGCAAGAAAAAAGAAAAGAAGGAGGGGAGTGGAAAAAAGAAAAAAAATAAAAAATTGCTTTAGTGACTTAAATACACAGATAATACTTTTAAGTATCTAAAATATTTTAAAAAGCATTTCCTCCTTTGACTGGGAAATTTATGTCTTAATCAGATCTACTCTGACATAACTATTATGTCGCGCATGCCATGCAGTCACAGCATAAAATTTATCACTATGAAGAAACAAAATCTGTTTGATAAAACATATGCATGGAACCCAAATATGAAAACATCAGCTGGTTACCACTTCAAGTACAATATCAAGAAATCACATGCCGTATTCACACAAGACACAGATAGATCGATAAAGTCCGATTCGAAACAAATCACACCATACTTAATAAATGAACAAACCAAAGTCATTAGCTCATCAATTATTACCTCCGCCAAGGAGGTTATGTTTTCACCCCTGTTTGTTTGTCTGTCGGTCGGTCTTTCTGTCTGTCTGTCTGTCATCAACATAACTCAAAAAGTTATGGACTGATTTTGATGAAATTTTCAGGAACTGTCAGAAGTGGGCCAGGGAACAGATGATTAGTTTTTGGTGGTGATCTGGATCAATAATCAATCAATAATCAAAAATCAAAAAACTAAATCATTATAGAATGAAAATTTAGGGGTGAAACGGCATTGGGTGGAGACTTTGCTGCCTTGGCGGAGGTCTGCGCTCTCGTAGTGCTTTTCTAGTTTCATGACTAAATTTCATCCAGACATGAAGTTTCAAGACTGATGATGTTTTATCACATTGTGTAGTATACTATCTACATCATAGTTATGACGAGGGGGGGGGGGTCCCCTTTACAAGTACACTTTCAACTGTTTGGACTAACCATAAGTAATCTGGTTAACTTGG